CGCCAGCCGTCTGGTTAGCAGGCAAGTGTCTTAGCCACTATGCTACCAGAGCTCCCGACAACTCTGTTAGATAGTAATTTTTTTGCCAATCAGAAAATGAATTTGATATCCAGATAGATACCTTTCTTAATGATCAGCTTGTTATTATCAATTAAGTTATATATAATGCTATATGTTCTATTGCTAAGTTTCCTAAAATTTTTTGAAAAATTAATGTATTTACATTTTAAATTCTACTGGATTTTTCTATTAATGTATATTGTTTTAAATACAATAACTATAGACATGTAAATGTTAGCTTTTATATTAGTTTTTGCTTTATAGTAAATCATCATTCGGAATTAAAATTTTAAATCATTCAGTTAGTCATTAATTTACATATTTTCTGAGTACCTAATGGCTGGTAGCATAGTGCCTAAGGCATTTGACTGCTTACCCAAGGACTGGTAGTTCAAAACCACCCACCATTCCTCGGAAGGAGGGTTGGGCAATCTACTTTTGTAGTGATACTGTCTCGGAAACTTGCGATTAGTCGAATCCAACTCGATGGCAGAAGTTTGTTTTTTTTTTTTTTCTTTTTCTTTTTTTAATGGCTAGCTAGTCTATGATGAGAGATATCAAATATTAAAAAAGAAAAGGCAAGAAAACAAGTCCCTTGCTCTGAAAAACTTGTTACCAATTAGAAGGATTGATATACATACCCACTAAAATATAACCTAAGCCATTTCAAATCCATGAAGATCTGTATGCTTTAATTAATTGCTTTCTTCTGTGTACAACAAAAAATTTTAAATGACCCCTGAATTGTTAAATTAGGATCTTTAAAGAAAAGTGCTGCCTTGTATCTAAAATGTGGTAATTCATACCACTCAAGTTGTCTTCATCTGACAAGATATCAACTTCATGTAACACCATTAACTAACACTTAATCCCTCTAGCCACTTAGTCCCTCTATTAAAAAGTAAAAAAATAAATAAATAACATTCTTAGATTAACTCTGATTTTGGATACAATAATGACAGGAATTTATTTTCTAAGTGATGGCTTTTTAGCCACTCATGGTTTATTTTCACAACTCTTAAATGTAATTTTTCCAATGGTTTCATTTGAATAACTACGAAAACTAAAACAAAGAAGCAAACAATAATAAACTTTAGAATAATAAAAGGAAGACCTAGGCTATACTTACACACCCTTTTCTTGGTTTTCCACAATTGCTTTTTATTTACAAATACTAAGTTTTCCTTATAAAATGAGTAAATTTATACATCCATGATTATTTTTTGTATACATATACAAACATTAGTCACTTAATAACAATTATTTTTCAAAGATGCACAGCAGCAACAACAACAGGAAAGGCTTGGTGATGTCAAAATGCTCTTAATTCAACAGAAGATCAAATTGAATGCAAAAGCCTAGTTTCATAAGAGGCTTTCCAATATTCTGGAAAACCATAACAGAATGGATTATATAACCAATCTAATTCCTGTAGTTTTTTTTTTCCCCCCTAATATTTAAATAACCTTACCTAAATATGTAAGGGTGAACTCTGGTGGTGTAGTGCCTAGGGCATTTGATGGCTAACCAGAAGGCTGGCGGTTCAAACCCACCAGCCTCTCCTGGGAAGGAAGGTTGGGCAATATACTTCTGTTGTGATACTGCCTCGGAAACCCAAGGAAGGGTTGCTATGAGTTGGATCCGATTCAACAGCAGTGGGTTTTTGGTTTTAAATATGGAAGTAAAAAAGGACCAAACATGGGTCCCTGGCCAGTGTACACTCGGACCAAAACAGTTTACACACCAAGTGATTAAGAGGACAGAAAATTATTTATTGCAAAGCAGCAATGAAATGAGGAAAGGGTCTTTTACACAGATCCAACTCCCCAAATCTAAATCAAACTTTTGTATGTTTCAGGAGAGAGGGTTACGCATATTCATTAAAATTTCAGGAATTTGGATGTGATATAGTTGACAATTGGCTGAAATTTCCTTCGCCTCAATTTAAAGGTACAGTTGCTTTTTAATGCAGTGTACTTGCGGACCAGATGAGTCACACTGGCTTGCTGTCATCAGCTGATCCAGGCTTAGGCAGAGGGGAAAGTTTCAGTTCCCAGCAACTTTGTTCCTCTCTGTTCCACATGTCTTCAGGCCAAAGTTAATTTTTAAGTTGTTTTCTAAGACACATTAATGCATTTATCACCTGTTTCTAGGGGAATAGCAGGAAAAATGTACAAATTGGCTTTTCATTCCATTCAGTTCTTAAGGAACTAAGCTTATTGTGTCTACTTATATGTCTGCAACTGAGGTCCTATTTGTCTTAACCCAGGTGGGGAAATAGTTGAGAGTAATTATGTTTACTTATTTATTTCCAACTGGGGTCCTATCTGTTCTAACCATCTGTCTTAACCAGGATGGGGGAAATAGTTGAGCTTTGACTTTACTTGGTTTCAGAAGGAAGACTGAGCATCTACTTCTGTAAAGATTTACCACCTCAGAAACCCAAAGGGTCACTATGAGTCAGAATCAACTTAAGGATAGTGAGGTTTTTTTTTGGGGGGGGGTTACCTAAATATATTATTACCTTTCCTTTTATATACTTTGTTTTGCTTCTCTAGTGCAGCTGCTCAGAAGGAACGTTGGGCAATCTACTTCCGTAGTGATATTACCTTGGAAACCCAAGGAGGGATCGCTATGAGTCAGGTCCAACTTGATGGCACATAACAACAACAACAACAACAGTGCAGCTCTAACAGAAAATACCACAAATGGGTAGCTTTAACAAACAGTAGTTTATTCTCTTACAGTTCAGGAGGCCAGAAGTCTGAGTTCAGAGTGCCAGCTCTAGGGGCTGGGTGAAAGCCCCTTGATCTTGGGCTTCAACTCTGTCTCTTGACCTTTCCCACTAAAGCTGTAGGCTTCTCTTAACTCAAACAGCTGCTGGCTGCTGGGGCTGACAAATCCAAGGTCAACAAGTTAAATGGCACAGTCCCAAAATTATCCACCCACACAGCAGGACACTAATTCAAGTCCATTAACAATCTCAAGATCAGCACATAACATGGCAGGCCACTGAGATGAAGACTTGGCCATATATGCAGGCTCCAAGTGTGCCAAATGCTCCAGAGACCTTACTCCAAGCTGCTGCTTGTATTCTGGAAGCAGACTACATCCCTAAGGCAGCTACTCAGTTGCTCACAGCAGATTCCACCATGGAGTTGATTACCAGTCTCACCATGGGGAATACTACATCCAGCTGCCCAGCCACTAAAAAATAGGCCCAGCCAAGTTGACACACAATTTGACTACCGCACTCTTTAAGGTGGTTTGATATCTTGTTGCATTTGACTTATTGTTGTGACATACCTTTAAGCCACATCTTTCAGGAAATGTATCACATTTTAGTGAAAACTGTGATAAAGTACCATAGGATATGAAAGAAATTCATGTACTACAGTAGATACTCAGAAAAGGTCTTAAGGAAAATAAATCTTGAATTTACATTTTAAATTTAATTCCCCAAAATGGTTGCTCTGAGTTAGCCAAACTGCAAAGTTTGGGAGCATAGTCTTCCAGCCTACGGAGTCTTCTCAAGACTTTTGAAAACAACTATAAAGAATTAGGGTCCAACTACAAGGTTAAAGGGAAGTATTCACAAAGGAGCACCTTCACTTTTGACAACTACAAGTTCGAAGGGTTCCCCAAACTATCCTCTGATTCAATAATAGGCTAGCACTCACAGAAGTCACTGAAAGCTAGTATAATCACAATCATGGTTAATTACGGGAAACGGAACCATTAAAATCAGCCAAGGGAAGAAAAGCATAGAGCAGAGTCTGGGAGAGTCCAATATGAACTTGCATTGTCCTCAGAATTCATTATCCTCCCAGTATTGATGTATGACAATAAGCACAAAGTATTGCCAACCCAGTAAACTCATTTTAGCTTCGGTGTCAACAGTCAATTGATTAATATTTCATGTGTTCCAAGGGGCCCACCATGAATCACTTTGTTAGCATAAATTAGCAAGTGTGATCTAAGGGAACCACCATGAATAACACAGACACTCATGTCACAGGAAAAACTCCAAGGATTTATATGTTACCTCCCAGGAATCAGAGACGAAGGCCAGACCTTTCTTTAGGCAAGATCAAATTTTTACTACATATTGTAGAAGCTGATATCATGTACACAGTGAATATTATTTTGTCATATAGTGAATGCTAAATTAAAAAGTTCTTTAATACAGAATTGAAGCCTAAACTTTCATTATAGGCAATAACAAAAGAATGTCTTTCTCCTTCATGTTAAAACTAGAGAGTAACACATATCTTGTCCCAGGCAGTGGTTTTAGACTGCTATTCCAGAGCAGCAGCAGCATTACTTACCAACTTGATAGGAAGGCAAATTTGGGGGACCCTCCACATACATTTGCATGTGAGAGCTGTACCATGAACAAGGAAAACTGAAGAAAAGTCAATGCTTTTGAGTTGTGGTGTTGGTAAAGAATACTGAAAGTATCATGGACTGCTAAAAGGCCTAACACATCTATCCTGGAAGACATGCAGCCAGAATGCTCCCTGGAAGCAAGAATGGCCAGACTTTGTCTCATCTAGTTTGGTCATGTTGTCAGAAGGGACCATTCTCTGGAGATTGATATCATGCTTGGTAAAGTGGAGGGTCGTCAAAAAAAAGGGAAGGCCCTCAACAAGGTGGATTGACACAGTGGCTGCAATGATGGGGTTAAGTATAGCAAGGATTGTGAGGCTGGCACAGAACTAAACAGTGTCACTCTTACTAAAATTTTAATGTCTGCCAATCTGGCCTAGTTTATGGCATCATTCCACAAAAACAGCTGCTTATTATGTTTACATTTTAAATCTTTCTCAGCAAAATACTGCATGAGATTTCTTACAATTTTATAGAGGGGAATTATAATTTTTTTTTAATTGTATCTTGTAGATCCTGTCCTAAATATTTTTCTTACATGTGTTTTTCAGAATAAGAGAAACATATCTTGCAGCTGACATCAATTCTAATTCCGGAAAGATCTGGAGCATTATTTCAGCATTTCCATATCAGCTCTTTTCTAATACTAAATTTAATATAAATATTTTTAATGATAACTCAACACAAGTACTTCATCTAACACCATATGGTAAGTGACTTTGCATAACTATGAAAATCTCCATGAAGCTGTTATGTGTTGTGCAGCCTTGGGCCCACAGAATGAAATCATTAAAAAAAAAAAAAAAAAGCAATATTCATTACTGTTTGCCTTGAAGTGAAGTAAGAAGGAAAGCAGGTTGGAGTCTTTTGTTAACATCTGGGAGAGGGGGAGAAACTATTGTCTTCAAGAAGTCTACTCATAGCTCACCCTAAGACATCTTATTTTCCTACTGTGAAATGGTTAATAGCAAATATAGACATTTTTCAGCATATAAAAAAGCTGGATTTCAAACAGATTCTAGGTAATAATGATGTACATGTGAAAATGGCTGTTCATATTCATAAGGAACAACTATTTATTCAAATGTAAATAAAATGTGAGGTAGAATAGGCATTGATACAGAGTCTTGTTCTCACATGGAGAAGTGTAGTAGGTCTGTGCCACTAGAGCACAGTAGTACTACGAGACCTATTGAATCGTAGAATGGATTCTAGGAATCTATATTTTATCAAACTTAGCAGGTGATTCTTATTTCTCTAAGTTTTAGAAGCACTGTTATAGTTTACTTTTTTGAAATCAATTTTAGCCGCAACAATGGACTCAAACATACTAACAATCATAAAGATAGCATAGGACTAGGCAAAATTTTGTTCTGTTACATATAAGGTCACCATGAGTTGGTGCCAACTTGACAGAAACTAACAATGCTTCATGACTGTTGATATGTTTGAGTTTGTTGCTGTGGCTATTGGGCTAATCCACCTTGTTGAGTGGATCCTTCATTCTCATTGTCTCTCTATTTTACCAAGCGTGATGTCCTCTTCTAGGGATTCTTCTTTCTTGATGATATGTCCAAAGTAAGCAAGTCAAAGTCTTACCATCCTTCCTTCTAAGGAACATTCTTGTAGTATTTCTTTTAATACTTACTTGTTCATTCTTCAGGCATCCATGGCATATTCTTCACCAACACTATGGTTTGAATCATTAATTCTTCTGTCATTTTTTTTTGATTATCCAACTTTTGCACACATAGAGTTTCTAAATATCAATGCACTGTTTCCTGACAGCTAACCCAAACCAAAAAAAAAAAACTCATTGTTGTCAAGTTGGATCCGACTCATAGTGACCCCTCCTTGGGTTTCCAGGGCGTATATCTGTGAAAGTAGATTGTCCCATCTTCCTTCTGAGGAGTGGCTGGTGCCGTTGAACTGCCAGCCCTCTGGTTAGCAGTCAAATGCCTTAGGCACTACATCCACAGAGGGGAAAAAGTATTGGGATACTTACATAACTGAACATAAAAAAAGTTTACAGGATTAGTTCTGGCCCTTGACTACCTACCTGGCTAGGTGGTAGTCTGGATAAGCTGTGACTCATGACCTTGCAGCATCTTAGCCACAAGGTGGCTATCAAACAATACCAAGACCTCAACCTTAATTTAAATTAGAAAAGGACATGCCACTCAGGCAAGTTTCCTAGTTCTTTGTGCGAGCATAATCCACTGAACAGCTGAACAGAAAATTCAAAGAGCAGCTCTAGAAGACAAAGTCAATTATTATAATGAAATGTGCAGTGACCTGTGGTTACAAAACTGAAAGGGAAGAACACACTCTGCATTTCTCAAGCTGAAGGAACTAAGGAAAAAATTAAGCCTTGAATTGCAATATTGAAAAATTTCATGGGCAATAATTTGAATGATGCAGGAAACATCAAAAGAAGATGACTGTAATACAGAGTCACTAAATCAAAAAGAATTGGTAAATGATCATCCACTTCAGGAGGTGGCATATGATCAAGAACCAATTGTACTGAAGGAAGAAGTTGAAGCCACATTGAAGGAATTGGCGAAAAAGAAGACTCCAGGAATTGACAGAATACCCATTGAGATGTTTCAACAAATGCTGGAGGCATTCACTTGCCTATATCTAGAGATTTGGAAGACAGCTACCTGGTCAACTGACTGGAAGAGATCCATATTTGTACCCATTCCAAAGTAAGGTGATCCCACAGAGTGTGGAAATTATCGAACAATATCATAGATATCACACACAAGTAAACCTTTACTGAAGATAATTAAAAAATGGTTGCAGCAGTATATTGACAGAGAATTTCCAGAAATGTAAGCTGGATTCAGAAGGAAATGTGGTAATCACAGCTGATGTCAGATGGGTCTTGACTCAATACAGAAGGTCTCTATGAGTCAGACATTACTTGATGGCACATAACAACAAAAACAATCTACCTTCAACCACATTTTCCTGAAGGCAAACTGCCCTCCCTAAGTTTTGCATCTGAAATTTATTTCAGGCCACAATTATGGATAACACTGAGGAGAATGGAAATTTCAGAACACTTGATTGTACTCATGAGGAACCTATACATAGACCAGGAGACTGTCATTCGAACAGAACAAAGAGATACTGGTTTAAAATCAGGAAGGGAGTGTGTCAGGGTTGTATCCATTCACCATACTTATTCAATCTGTATGCTGAGCAAATAGTATGAGAATCTGGACTATATGAAGAAGAACATGGCATCAGGATTGGAGGAAGACTCGTTAACAACTTGTGATTCACAGACAACACAACTTTGCTTGCTGAAAGTGAGGTTGACTTGGAGAACTTACTGATGAAGATTGAAGACTAGAGTCTTCAGGATGGATTATACCTCAATATAAAGAAAACAAAAATCCTCACAACTGGACCAATAAGCAGCATCAAGATAAATGGAGAAATGATTGAAGTTGTCAAAGACTTTATATTGTTTGATTCTACAATTGATGCCAATGGAAGCAGCAGTCAGGACATCAAAAGATGGATTACACACAGGCAAATCTCTTGCAAAAGACCTCTTTCAAGTGCTGAAGAGCAAAAGATATCTCCTTGAAGACTAAGATGCTCCTAACCCAAACCATGGTATTTTCAATCACCTCTTATGCATGTGAGAGCAGAACAATGAATAAGGAAGATCAAAGAAAAGTTGGTGCTTTTGAGTTGTGGTGTTGGCAAAGAATGCTGAAAGTACCATGGATTGCTAAAAGAACTAACAGGTCTGTCCTGGAAGAAGTGCAGCTGGAGTGTTCCTTGGAAGTGAGAATGGCCAGACTTCGTCTCACCTACTTTGGTCATGTTGTCAGAGGGACCATTCCCTGGAAAAGGATGTCAGGCTTGGCAAAGTGGAGGGTCAACAAGAAAGGGTAAGACCTTCCAAGATGGATTGACACAGTGGCTGCAGCGATGGGCTCAGATGTAGGAGATATCGTGATGCTGGAGCAGGACTGGGTGGTGTTTTGTTCTGTTGTACATAAGGTCTCTATGAGTCAGACATTACTCAATGGCACATAGCAACAACAACAATCCACCTTCAACCACATTTTCCTGAAGGCAAACTGCCCTCCCTAAGTTTGGCATCTGAAATTTATGTCAGGCCACAAAATTGAGTTAGGGCTCCCACTGCACCCCACAGCCTTCCACAAACCCAATTGCTTTAGAATTTAAACTCTAATACACCTGTAAAGGGTTGGAAGTAGAAGTAAATTTCCTAAGGAGTAAAGAGTAAATGATATCTATGGGTCAAATATATTTACTCAATAAAGAAGTTAGACAATAAAGGGAAGGTGAAAGGAAGGATAGTAACTTGAAGGAATGAAAGGTATGAGGGAAAATCTTATTAGGAAGTTAAATGGAAATAAAATATTTTTAGGAAAAAGGAAAAGCATCCTAGAGTGGAGGACACTGAATATATAAAGGAGTGGGGTTTTAATTGATGGAATTTTGCCCTAGTGCAGGAAGAAGATCACAGTTGAGGAAGTAAAATGTGAAAAAGAGTAGGAACACTTGTCTCTCAAAAGAGATGTAAAGGAATAGAGGAGGATGGATGAAAAACTAGAATTTGAAGTGCAGAGGTGTATATTAAAGAACTTAAAAGAGTTTCAGCCTCTTCAATAAGGTAGGCAATGTGGTCAACAAAGTGAAAAGGGTCAGAGTAAGGTAGGAGATGAAAGAAATTGGGAATCAGATTATATCAGCTGCCAAAACAAAGGTAAAAATCTGAAATCTGTTGTAAAGAAGCTGCCATACTTAATTGAGTATAATATGGACAAAAAGTTTAACTCACAGATTCCTAGTGGTTGGCTTCAAGGGGAAAGATGGTAATTTGAGGTTTAGAGGATTTCAGGAAACATCCAAAGAGTAACACTGAGAGAAGGAATGGCTAGAAATTGGATGATGAAGTGTTTCATGTAAAGTGGAAAGATAATTGTAGCAAATAAGTGAATTCATTCATGCCTCATTTAGCACAGAGGATGCAATCTTGGATATGGGAGGACCAGACTAATTAATTAATTAAGTGGATTACTGTCATATACTGACAATGCTCTCCTCTTCTTGTCAAAACCCTTACAGTAATTATTTAGCCTCTAACCATATTTTCTTCAAGCTTACATTCCTATCAGGATAGACCAATTCTCCTAAGCCACAGTATGTTTATTTAAAATTGTCACTGCAGTATAAAAGCATTCCACGATCCCTAAATCCCTGATGATCTTTATAATTTGTTTCCCCAACCAATTTTTGGTGGCATCTTGATCTATTATAAAACCTACTTTTTAAGTCCAAAATTATACTCTATTTTTTTTCTCTTTGTGACAGGTCCTGCAATATCATTTTGTTAACCTAGTTTAGCTCAAAGACCTTTACTGCAAAATGCAAAAAGCATAGCAGTAAAACAAGCCACGTGGAACAAAATGCAAAAACTCAATAATGACCAGAATTACTGGTCAGATGAAATTTGGTGAGACTCCCAATACTATGGCCCTGGAATACATTCTGCACCTGGAATAAAATTCACCCCCAGGGGTGGTCTCTCAGCCCAATAGTTAATAAGATGTACATGCAGACCACTCAACCCAGGAGGCTGCACCCACATACTCTATGGTAATATATCCCTTAGAGCAATAGACCGTGAGACACCAGAGGACCAACATTCAAACTGAGGAAATGCAAGACAAACAGGAATGCATAATTATGAGGGGCACAGGGGGAATGTTGCAGGGTAGGGAGGGGAGGAGACTGGGTTAGGTTTGGACATGGCAAATGGGGAATGAAACTAAATGTACATGTTACGTTGAATGTAAAACAAGCTCTTAAAATAAAAAAAGTACAAGCCACAGAAAAATTACCAACACCCAATTGCAGATGATACTCCATTTAGGCCAATGTAGTTGCACATTTATAGCAAGCTGCACAGATTCTTGCCAGTTTACTACACTTTTGTTGCCTGAGGCCATAAGATCACATACAATGTATGGGTAAATATATGAACCTGTGGCTGTTGAGTCAATTCTTACTTTTAGAAACCCCATAGGGTGGAGTAGAACTGCCCCACAAGTTTCCAAAGCTGTGAATCTTTACGTAAGCAGACTGCCATATTTTTTCCCATTGAGCAGCTGTTACGTTGAACTACCCACCTTTTGGTTAACAGTACAGTGTTTAACCACTATGCCACCAGTGATCCTAGGGTAAATGTACATGGTTTTTGTTGTTAGGTGTTATCAAATTGGTTCCGACTCATAGCAACCATATGTACAAAACAGCACAAAGCACTGCCTGGTCTTGTGCCATCCTCACAATTGTTGCTATCTTTCAGACCGTTATTACTGCCACTGTATCGCTTCTTCTCATTGAAGGTCTTCCTCTTTTTCACTAACTGTCTACTTTACCAAGCATGATGTCCTTCTCCAGGGACTGTTGTTTCCTGATAACATCACCAAAGTACATGAGACAAAGTGTCTCCTTCCTCACTACTAAGGAGCATTCTGGTTGTACTTATACCAACACGGATTTGCTCATTCCTCTGGCAGTCCATGGTATACTCAGTATTCTTCACAAGCACCATAATTCAAATGCATGCATTCTTTTTTGGTTGTCTTTATTCGTTGTCCAGAGTTTGCCTAATGAGGCAATTGAAAATACCATGGCTTGTGACAGATGCACCTTAGTCTTCAAAGTGACATCTTTGTTTTTATCACTTTAAAGAGATCTTTTGCAGCATATTTGCTCATTACAATACTTTCTTTCATTTCTTGACTTCTGCTTCCTTGGGCATCAGGAATGGAGGAAGATTCACTAGCAACCTGTGATATGCAGATGACACAACCTTGCTTTCTGAAAGTGAAGAGGATTTGAAAGGCATACTGATGAAGATCAAAGATTATAGCCTTCATTATGGACTATACCTCAATGAGAATAAAACAAAATCCTCACAAGTGGACCAATAACATAATGATAACTGGATTTTTTCACACACACACACACACACACACACACACACAGAAGTTGTAATATTTTAAGCTTTCATTATGAAAAATATGCTATAAACAAATGTTATTGTAGTAAGATAATACAGTTCTAGCCAATAGTAAATGGTACATACGTGTTAAGAGCTCAGAGGAGGAGATTATGGAACAAGAGTATCGGAAGGTGAATGACTTCACCCTTCAATATGCTTACATTTTTGTTCCAGGTAAGAAACTGGAGAAAGAAAACACATGTTCTTTAAGGTTTTTATGATGCTGTTCAAGTCAGAGCCTTGGTGATTCCTACATGAAAGAGCAAGAACAATCAGCTTTAAAGACTGAGTCATTAAGAGCACAGGCTTTGAAGTCTAATAGATTTCAGGTAGACTCCTGGCTTGTCACCTATAACTCACTGTGTAGCTTCTACCGAGTTGCACAACTTCTGAAAATCTGTCAGTGCATCTGCAAAACTTGAGATATGAGACCGACTGTAAGCAAGAGCAAGATAATGCATGTAAAGCACGTGGTAAAGTAAATGCTCAGTGAAATAGTAGCAACTACTATTATTATATAAGGTCCTCTGGTGGCGCAGTGAGTAAGGCATTTGGCTGCTAACCAGAGGCCATCAGTTCAAACTACCAGCTGCTACATGGGAAGAAGATGAGGCAGTCTACTTCCATAAACATTTACAGCTTTGGAAATCCTATGTGGGTCACAATATGTGAGAATCTACTCAATCAAAGGCAGTAGGTTTGGTTTATTTTGGTGGGTTTGGGTTTTTGTTTGTTTGTTTGTTTTTAGTTTACTATTATAAGAATTCTAGTGGCATAGTGCTTAAGACACTTGACTGCTAACCAGAAGGCTGGCAGTTCAAACCCACGAACCACTCCTGGGAAGGAAGTTTGGGCAATCTACTTCTGTAGTGATACCACCTCGGAAACCCAAGGAGATGTTGCTGTGAGTCAGATCCTACTTGATGGCAGTGAGTTTGGAGTTTTTGGTACTATTATTATACAGGAGTTCTGGGTGGCACAACTGGTTAAGCACTTGACAACTACCTGAGAAGTTGGTAATTTAAACCAATCCAGAAGCACCTCAGGAAACAAGACAATCTGCTTTAGAAATGTCACAGCTTTGAAAAACCCAATGAAGCTGTTCTACTCTGAACACATGAGGTCACTGTGAGTCAGAGTCAATTCAGCAGCAACTAATATGGACATAATCATTATACACTAGGAATGATTTTCAATTGTATTGCACTTCATAATTTATTGAACACATTTACCTATATATTTTTTAAATATTTCTCTCAGATCAAATTCCTGAAAGAAGTAAATCATGCTATTACACACCCTTTATAACATGAGAAAAGTAGGTCAAAGCAATGAAATAACTTATCCAAGTAAACAAACTAAAATGTGGGAAAACTTATACTATTCCTAGGACTAGTAACAGAGGTTTAATAGGCATATACAAGTGTTGTAGTATCATGTTAATATCATATGTTTTAATATTAACTAATACAAATGTACAGAAAATATTCCAGTTAATTCAGAGTTTTTTTTATTATTATTGTGTACTTGAAAGTGGGCAACATGTCTCATTTAAACTGGAAGTAGAAAGAACACACTCCGGGAATTCTTGCCTGGCTGTGGCTTTGACATTTCCCAGGTCCCTGAAAAGGAACTACAGTAGAATTATCTTTTATGGAGCACTCCAATATGCACCATTGTTTTTGAAGAATACAATATTAGCTTTGTTATGTTCTATGAAAACAGAGATCTGATACACAAAAATGCAACCATTTTTCAAAGCTATTGGCAAATCTAACCAGACCAGTAAGTGAGATGCACCTCATTTTAACTCCTCTTGATGGAGCTAGATAGTTACAGTACTTCATAAGGTATTGTGATTTTTTAGGCTCAACACCTTTTTCCCAGGACATATATAATAAGTTCTTCTTAACTTTTATCATTATCCTTTGTTTTTAGCTAATTATCTCGTCAAAGACTTAATTGCAGAAATTCTACATTTTTGTACAAATGACCAGTTGTTCCCTAAAGATCATCATCTAAGTATATGTGGTTCTGAAGAATTTTTACAGAAGTAAGTACCTCATTAAGATAATTTTTTAAATCATTGCTATACCTGTATGTGTTAAACAGCACTGTCGTTATTTTCTATTAAACAAGCTTTATATAACAGAATATTTTCATATGCACCAAACATAAATCAAGTTTTCCTCTTTAAACTAAATTTTGAATGTTGTGAATCATATTCACAGTCTTAATCTTTGTATTATATGCATTTGTGACAAGTTTACATGGCCTATGATTAGAATGACCCACCATCTCAGTTTGTCCAAGACTGAGAAAGTTCCCAGGATGTGGGACTATCGGTTTTGAAACGAAGTCTCAGGCAAACCAGAGTGAGGTGCTCACCCTACCTGTGACAAAGCTTATTAGGATTGATCAGAATTAAGAAATAAATGCTTTTTTAATAATGAAGGCTATGATTTAGAATAATAGTATGTGTGGGTTGAAAACTGATTTTTAGAAATCACAGAGTTTGAGTATTAGCATTTTAACTCATTAATAAAAGAGTAAGTTTTAAAATAACTCCTTGATTCCTTCATTAGATAAATCAGGCAACTTATTAAACTAATTTGAAAAGTCTTCTCATGTACATTAATGCCAAAACTTATTTGGCAGAAGACTCACCCTTTTTTAGTGTGTACCACTACCATGATTGACCTAAAATCCCCTATAAACCAGCCTTGAAAATGTAATACAGATTTGTGAAAGGAAATATGTATCAGCTCATGTTGAATAGTTATTTGAAGCAATAAAGAATTAAAAACTAAAATGTTTAATAAGATGGATGGCCATTTACATTTTCCCTTTTGTTCTACAAGTTTATCTAGAGATTTACAGCAGATTCATGAAATTAGAAATGCATCTCTTTTGACCTTCTCATTGCCACTGTTGTTATTATTGCACAAGGAACGTGCTTGAAAATATCTTGTGGGTGATTTGGTGAATTTAACCATATTCTTATCAGTAAATCTGGTCCTTTATTGGAAAATATGTACTATGAGTGACTTGATAGATTGATTTTTTTTTTTCCTTTTTGTGTTCCTACTTATAACAAAATGATAATAAATATTTATATGAAATCACAGATGTTTGTTGCACTACGCCCTTTGATCCTTCTCTATTCAAATCCATTAATGCAGTAATTGACTAGGCTGCTACTTCCAGCATATGGTTTTGACAGAATATCCAAAGAGCAAAGAAAAATACTTTAATAGTTATAATCTCATAATGACTACTAATTACAGCTCATCTTCTGAATGTGCAAATCTTCCAATGCACATCTGGCTTTGGTTGATGCCAAAACATTAGATTCAAAGAGTAAATACCATCATCAAATATTTACATTTAGTTTTAGCCATAGGAAATATCATCTAGAAAGCAATAGTGTTGAAGACAAAATTTTTGAGAAGAGTAATATGGAGAAAATTTACACTTAATCACTATTCAAATGGTAAATTGTCCATAATTATATACCTTAAATGTTGACTGATAAAACTGTTATACACATCAGTGACTCTTTTATTCCTATTAATATAATTTCTATTAATAGATTTTTCAAATGTTTTCATAATCATTTATTTTTATTAAAAATTCATTCCAGTGGGTTGCATTAAGATAGTAAAGATGACAAGTATTAATACAGGTTAATTACAACCATTTATTCCCTATGGAAAATTGAACAATACATATGTATTAGGACTTTGTTTGCTATCTAAGAGTAATGTTTTGTTACCATGTGCTGTCAAGTCAGCCCCGACTCATAGAAGCCCCTCCTTGGGTTTCTGAGGCAGTATCACTTACAGAAGTAGATTGCCCAACTTTCCTCCCAAGGAGTGGCTGGTGGGTTTGAACTGTCAGCCTTCTGGTTAGCAGTCAAGTGGCTTAGGCACTATGCTACTAGAGCTCCTATTTAAGAGTAATAGCCTACCTATATTTATACGAAATATTTAATAAGAAGCATATTACTGAATCCTCATCACTGTCCTCTCTCATATATAACGTGTGTGTGTGTGTGTGTGTGTGTGTTTGTGTATATATATCTCCAACAATTGGACAGTGAAAACTTTATGAATAGCAGTGAAACATTGTCTGATATATTACTGGAAAACTTTATGAATAGCTCTGAAACATTTCCAATATAATGCTGGAAGATGAATACTTCAGGTCAAAATATGACTGGAAAAGAGCTGCATCATCAGAGTAGAGATGACCTTAATGATATGGACAGAAAAAAGCTTTGGGGACCTCCTTTGACTGATGCGGCATGACTCAAAATGAGGAGGAAGAAATGCAAACATCCATTAATAATTGAAACATGGAATGTACAAAGTATGAATCTAGGAAAATTGGAAGTTGTCAAAAATGAAATGGAATGCATAAAGATCAATATCCTAAGCATTAGTGAGCTGAAATGGACTAGTTTGGGCCATTTTAAATTAGATAAGCATATGATCTACTATGCCAGGAATGACAAGTTTAAGAGGAATGATGTGGCATTCATTGTCAGAAAGACAAAGTTTTTCATCTGTTTCAAGATCTGCCTGAAGTACAATGCTGTCAGTGATAGGATAATATCCCTACACCTACAAGGAAGACCAGTTAGTATATGATTATTCAAATCTGTGCACCAACCACCAAAGTGAAAGATGAAGAAACTGAAGATTTCTACCAACTTTTGCAGTGTTAAGTTGATTAAACATGCATTCAAGATGTGTTGATTATCACTGGTGACTAGAATGCAAAAGTTGTCAACAAAGAAGAATTACCAATAGTTGGAAAATCTGGCTTTGGTGATAGAAATAATGCTGGAGATTGCATGATAGAATTTTGCAAGACCAAGGAGCTCTGGTAGCATGGTGTCTAAGGCACTTGACTGCTAACCAGAAGGCTGGGAGTTCAAACCCACCAGCCACTTCTCAGAAGGAAGATGGGGAAACCTACTTCTGTAGTATTAGCACCACAGAAACCCAAGAAGGGGTCACTATGAGTAGGATCTGACTCAATGGCAGTGAGTTTAGTTTGGTTTTTGTAACAACTTATTCATTGCAAATACCTTTTTTCAATAATATAAGCAACAGCTATACACATGGACTTCACCAGATGTAAAACACAGCTATCAGATTGACTACATCTGTGGTGAGAGGAAATGGAGAAGTTCAGTATCTTGGACAAAACAAAGCCAGGAACTGATTGTGGAACAGACTGGTTTTGGCCATTTTGAATCAGACAGCCATATGATCTACTATGCCAGGAATGACAAATTAAAGAAGAATGGTGTGGAATTCATCATCACAAAGTATGTTTCAAGATCTATCCTGAAGTACAATGCTGTCAGTGTCAAGATTATATCTGTAAGCCTATGAGGAAGACCAGTTAATATTACTATTACTCAAATTTGTGCACCAACCACCAAAGCCAAAGATGAGGGAATTGAAGATTTTTACCAACTTCTGTAGTCTGAAATTAACCAAACATGCAATGAAGTTGTGTTAATTATCACTGGTGATTGGAATGCAAAAGTTAGATACAAAGAAGAATCACCAATAGTTGGAAAATATGGTCTTGTTGATAGAAATGATGCTGGAGATCATGATTTTGCAAGACCAATGACTTATTCATTGCAAATACATTTTTTTCAACAACACAAATGGTGGCTAAACACATGGACTTCACCAGATGGAGCACACAGGAATCAGATTGACTACATGTGTGGCAAGAGGCAATGAAGAAACTCAATATCTTCAGCCAAAACAAGACCAAGAGCTGATTGTTAATCCAAGAAGCTGGATTATATGAAGAAGAGCATGGCATCAGGATTGGAGGAAGACTCATTAACAACATATGAGATGCAGATGACACAACTTTACTTGCTGAAAGTGAAAATGACTTGGAGCACTTACTGATGAAGATTGAAGACTACAGTCTGCAGTACGGATTACACCTCAATATAAAGAAAACAAAAATCCTCACAACTAGACCAATAAACAACATCACTATAAATGGAGAAAAGATTGAAGTTGTCAAAGACTTCATATTAATTGGTTCTACAATCAACATCAATGAAAGCAGCAGTCAAGACATCAGATGACGTATTGCACTGGGCAAATCTGCTGCAAAAGACCTCTTTCAAGTGCTGAAAAGCAAAGATATCTCCTTGAAGGGTAAGATGTGCCTAACCCAAGCCATGGTGTTTTCAATCGCCTCATGTACATTTTAGAACTGGACAATGAATAAGGAAGAGTGAAGAAGAGTTGATGCTTTTGAGTTGTGGTGTTGGTGAAGAACGCTGAATGTACCATGGACTGCTAAAGAACTAAGAAGTCTGTCCTGGAGGAAGTGCAGCCAGAGCGCTCCTTAGAAGCGAGAATGGCCAAACTTTGTCTCACCTACTTTGGTCATGTTGTCATAAGGGACCAATCTCTGGAGAAGGATATCATGCTTGGTAAAGTGGAGGGTCAATGAAGAAGTGGGAGTCTCTCAAGGAGATGAGCTCAGGTATAGCAAGGATTGTGAGGCTGGCACAGAACTGAGCAGTGTTTCATTCTGTTCTACATAGAGTCACTATGAAACACAGACAATTTGATGGCACATAACAACAACTACCAGATGGAAAACATTCTGTGTATCTTTGCTAATACAAAATATTCAAGAACTAAGATTAAAATAGCACATTAAAGCCTTATTAAGGTGATACTGGTTAATATAAAATATTAGGTAATTCAGAAATTCTCTAGCTAATCACTTCATTTTAAGAAAAACAAGGCATTACCAAACCAAATCAAACTCACTGCCATCAAGTCAGATCCGACTCATAACGACCCCTCCTTGGGTTTCTGAGGTGGTATCACTACAGAGGTAGATTGCCCCATCTTTCTTCTGAGGAGTGGCTGGTGGGTTTGAACTGCCAGCCTTCTGGTTAGCAGTCAAATGCCTTAGGCACTACGCCACCAGAGCTCAAATCTCAATTAAATCAATATTTTGGAGGGAGTTAATAATTCTTAACTTTTAAAA